ATAAATTTAAATGGCTGCCCCCTTCTACCAAGGGAAACTTGTGGCTCTTGAAACCTGAAATTGTATTGTTTCCCTCTGGTAATCAAGTGCAGCTAGTGACTGTATTTTACACCTCGATCATCATAATTATGAAAGCTAATAACAGAGCTGAAAAAATGCTAACTTTCATAATGGATTACACTGTTACCAATCACAACCCACTGACCTTTTAACAGCATTGAATTTAAATTCTTGTTTTCTGAGACATTTGTGTAGTAAATACAAGAAGTGGATGGTAGCATAAGATGCAACTGTTACAAATAGGTAATTAGCTGAGTTAGCAAATATGCAATAAATATTGTATCACACGTCACTTGAAATGCATGATGTTATATTTCCAAGTTTCTGTCAGTGTTAGCCCTGTTAGATATCACTGTATGAAAGGTTTGGTAATGGTTGAAGTTCTTTAACTTTGTTTCTTCATCAAATTCCTTACTAACACAGTGATAGCTCAACATCATTGCAAAGTACTTGTAGCATTAATACAACATTTATGTGCTCAAATTTGTTCATCAAAGCTGCTTTACAAATGGCTGCCAGCTGCGTGGAGAACAATGGCATCACTGAGCAAGTGTTGTTTGGTTTTTGTTGTGCAGGAACTTTGTCTTCATACAAAACTCCTGGCATCACCTAACACCTCAATAGCTGATTTCCTGTCAAAAGCTGCAGAACCACCACCTTTTCTGGTGCTTCGCAATGCTGTTGCCTTACTGAAGGTTTGTACAGACAATCAAGGTTTTTGTTTGCATTAAATTGAGATATGGCAAAGTTTTCAAAATTCTGCACCAGCTCACAGGGACTCCAGAGGTTGAAAAGGTTGGTAGGGCTACAGCCCTACAACTTTTTTTTTCTTGGATTGATTTTCTAGGGTTCCAGATGACATGGATAAGTAACATAATGGCAGAACAGTGATCCCTAATGCTTGCTTGTCTTGGCCAGATTTTTTTAAAAACCCTTTCACTTTAAAATGGTTTCCCCCGTCCCTGGCTCATGCCAAGAACTGCAATGATCACATGCCAGAATTATACCAAGAGTATGATCATATACTGGTTGGACACACCCTACCACACCAAAGATTTTCAGCATAAAATGCGTAAGATAAACCTTACATTGTGAGAATTCACACTACAAAAGCAATATTATATAAATTAAAGCAATAAATTGTTTTAACACACAAACACTGTCAGTCAATTTGGGAAGAATTTACTTGCGATGGGTCGCTTTGGTAGGAACAGCCACACGGTAATCATGATCTCATGTAATCATTACTTTTAGCAATCCAGTACAAGTACATTTGGCTGATGTTTTCTTTTCCATTTGCTTATTGTTCAAGACAATAGATGCTTTAGATCAATGGGAGGATCTGACTGATCTTGGTAAATACATTGTCTCATAATGGGAGCATTAAACACCATAAAAGACATACAGATAGCTAGTGTTTATAGTCTATTTAAATTGATATAGCAGCATCGCGCAGCAACAAGTGTGAGGTAATCAATAGTTTGTGTATGTCCCATCAGTTAGAGTGGTCATTAAAATAATGTATATCTGCAATGGCAATGCTAGTATCAGTGAAAGGTCCATATCCCCCCAAAAGATTCATTCAGAGAAAATACTTCATTTAATTAATATTGAGTGAAACATTTACATAAATTTGCTTGGCACTCCAGTGATGTAACTTTTAGTATTTCTCAATCCAGCCACAAAAGGCAAAAAACTATCTGACAAAACATTGATTTCTTATGGCAGATTTTCTATTTGGTCTTCCCTTTTTTTCATTTTGTACTTGAATACCCTGTTGCCTGATGGCACTAGCATGACTGCAAGAAAAGTGCTGCTACAGTGTACCATTCTTTTTTTATTAAGAATGTCCAGTTTTGTTAATTAAAATATCATAGATCGACAATTTGTACAAAGCAGTATCATCTAACATCATAGATCTGCAATGCGTGCATAGAGATAAATAAGCAGAGTATTGTCTGATACATGTAGTATGTTGGAATGCCCCCACAGGTCGTCATCTTGCAGACCTTCCACTAAGTCCACAACTGGGGAAGATGATTTTGTATTCAGTTGTTCTCAAATGTGTGGATCCTGTGGTAACCATAGCTTGTGCTCTGGCGTACAGAGATCCTTGTAAGTAAAAACGAAACTGATGTGTCATTTCTTTCAATAAGATCTATCAGCTTCTGGAGCTCCAGTGGCTACTCTGTTGTGAATCAGCAGCTTTCAAGAATTGACTCTACACTGGCTCCTGTCGTTGAGTAGTGGCTCCTGCACCAAGGCAGCCAGCGACTTCCAAAGTTAATAAAAGCATTGATGTGCATGAGACTAGGCATCTTGGGACTAAAAGATATCAAATCAGAATAAGGGATATCTACAACAATAACTGTAACTCAAATGTCTAAATTACCACTAGCAGTATGCAATACCTTCTACAGTTCAGTTCTTCCTTTAGATACCAAAGTAAATATGATGTCTACCTCCACTGTCTGCACAGTTCATTTTGCCCTGCAGGGATCAGATCTTATGTATTTAGCTACCCCTCAATGTATAACAGGTGTTTGTCATGAACAGTTCACTTGTTCATGGAGAAACCAAAAGCAAGTGTGTATTAAGTGAAACTTGTATAATTGATACAGACAATTGGGTAGAACTCTGGACTTGTCTTAAATATACCTTGTATACTTTTGCAGTCATGCTACCCATGTACCCATCAGAGAAGCGTGCTGCAGCTGCAGCCAGGAAAAGATTTACTTTAGATCCATTCAGTGATCACTTGATATTTGTTCAAGTGTTTAGGGTGAGTCTGTGTTACCACCTATGCATGGAAAATGAATCGCTGTTAGTATGCACAGTCATATAATGTTTTGAACAACAGAAATAATGCCTTAAATTGATAATTGGCAGACCAATCGCTTACATGGACTTCTCTACAAAAACGGAAGAATCATCTGATCAACAGATGATTACCACTCAAGTTACCACAAACTTATTCATCAACCACATTCAGTTTTTGTGTATCCTTCAGGTAAGATCACATCTTGGGCCTCATCTGCAAGAGAAAAGGCTGTCTAGCAAGGTCAAATGTTTGTAGGGCTAAGTTATCTGAATGCCCACAAGCTATTCTTTCTCAAGATTACTCTGACCCGGCCAATCTGGCATGACAAATCATCTTGTCTTGTTTACAGGGCTGGCAACGAGCAAGATCTGAAGGTTCTGACAAAAACTTCTGCCGCAGGAATTATTTGTCTCAAGCCACTTTAGAAATGATGGCAGGAATGAGGTAAAAAGCTATATAGATATAATTTTCAGTAAGCAGATCTTGACAGGGCTTTCTATATGTTTGTGGTCATCTGGTTACATCAATCTGGAAATTCTTGTAAGTTGTAACATTTATTCAGTCCTGAATTCCAGCCATTTTGTGTGCGCTGCTGTAGGGTTTTAAAACAGCAGGTTTTCAGCTAACGTTTAACATCAACTTTAACATTTAGAATAATTATGTTGTTTCGTTGGAGTTTCACAAAGGAACTGAATATTTGGGAAGCAAAAAGAACAACAACAACACAAAAATAGGAGCCATACACGTGTAGGTGATTGTGTCCAGAACGGGACAGAAAATTCCTTGGGTATTTATATAACCTGTCAGGCAAACCTCTGCCATTCTGGGGCTCTGTCTTGGTCTTAGAAAGAGGAATTCATAATAAACCAGCACCTCTTCTCCTGACTGTGACTCCATAAAAACACAGTC